AATTTTGGCTTTTGTTGCCATTGCTTTTGGTGTTTTAGCATGAAGTCCTTGACCATGCCTATGTCCTGAATGGTACTGCCTAGGTCTTCTCTAGGGTTTTTACGGTTTTAGGTCTAACATTTAAGTCTTTAATCCATCTTGAATTAATTTTTGTATAAGGTGTAAGGAAGGGATCCAGTTTCCAGCTTTCTACATATGGCTGGCCAGTTTTCCCAGCACCATTTATTAAACAGGGAATCCTTTTCCCATTTCTTGTTTTTGTCAGGTTGCCAAAGATCAGATGGTTGTAGATGTGTGGTATTTATTTCTGAGGGCTGTGTTCTGTTCATTGGTCTGTATCCTGTTTTGGTACCAGTACCATGCTGTTTTGTTACTGTAAGCCTTGTAATATAGGTAATATAGTTTGACTTCAGGTAGTATGATGCCTCCAGCTTTGCTTCTTTTGGCTTAGGGTTGTTTGCAGATGACATGAGATGTTATATTTAGAAAATCCCGTCGTCTCCAGCCCAAAATCTCCTTAGCTGATAAGCAACTTCAGCAAAGTCTCAGGATACAAAATCAATGTGCAAAAATCACAAGCATTCTTATACACCAAATAACAGACAGAGAGCCAAATCATGAGTGAACTCCCATTCACAACTGCTTCAAAGAGAATAAAATACCTAGGAATCCAACTTACAAGGGATGTGAGAGAGAACTACAAGCCACTGATCAATGAAATAAAAGAGGACCACAAACAAATGGAAAGAACATCCATGCTCATGGATAGCAAGAATCAGTACATGAAAATGGCCATACTGCCCAAGGTAATTTATAGATTCAATGCCATCCCCATCAAGCTACTGATGACTTTCTTCACAGAATTGAAAAAACTGCTTTAAGTTCACATGGCTCAGAGAATGTTTAGGTCAGCAAAATTACCCTATATGACACTGTAATGGTAGACACATGTCACTATACATTGTCTGAACCCACAGAATATACAATATCAATTGAACCCTTATGTAAACTGTGGACTGCGGTGATAATGATGTGTCCGTGTAGGTTTCATCAATTATAACAAATGTTCCTCTACTGGGGAATGTTCATATGGGAAGAGGCCATGCATGTGTGCAGGGGATATAATGGGAGATCTCTGTACTTTGCTCACAATTTTGCTGTGAATCTAAAACTGTTTTAAAAAATAAAGTGTACTGGCCAGGCGCGGTGGCTCACGCCTGTAATTCCAGCACTTTCGGGAGGCCAAGGCGGCCGGATCACAAGGTCAGGAGATCGAGACCATCCTGGCTAACACGGTGAAACCCCGTCTCTACTAAAAAATACAAAAAATTAGCCGGGCGAGGTGACAGGTGCCTGTAGTCCCAGCTACTCGGGAGGCTGAGGCAGGAGAATGGCATGAACCTGGGAGGGCAGAGCTTACAGTGAGTCGAGATCACGCCACTGCCACTCCAGCCTGGGCATTAGAGCAAGACTCCGTCCCTAAAAAAAATAAATAAAGTATACTTCTAAAGAAAGGACTCAATTGTTAATAAAACTAATAAAGTATGTGTGGGACATCTAAATAGACACTACTGTAAAAAAGAAAAAAGAAGGCAAATAAGCACATTTAAAAAATGTTCAATTTCATTAATCATTAGAGAAATAGAAGTTAAAACCTCAACAAGATACCACTATATAGTTATTAGAAAACATAAAATTAACATGATTGCATACCAAGTGTCAGAAGGATATGGGGAAACTGGAGCTCTCATCCCTGCCGTAGTGGCCAACCGTAAAATGGTCCAACCACTTTGGAAACCAGGTGGGCGGTTTCGCAGTCAATCATACACCTGACAACACAATCCAGACATTCCACTTCTGGCTATTTACCCGAGAGACAGGGAAGCACATGGTCACGCAGAGACTTTTACACAAGTGTCCACAGCAATTTGTAGTGGTCAAAACCTGGCAATAACCTAAATGTCTTTAACTGGTAGGTGCATGAACCAACTGGGAATATCCATTTGAAAGAATACTTCCCAGCAAAAAGAAGCAATCACCTGCTAATCCAGTCAACAACAAAACAGTTATGCCAGACCAAAGGAAAGTGATATTGCATAATCGACTCCATTTACATCAAATTTGTAAAACTGCACACTAATCTGTAGTGACAGGAAGCAAATCAGTGGTTGCCTGGGGAGGGGTAGAGGAAGCTTGGCGGGGGTGGCTGTGCTGGCTGTGTTTGGTATCATGATTGTGGTAGTTTCATGGGTGTATAAATACGTTAAACCTTACCAAATGTACACTTAGAATGCAAAATTTATGGTATGTAAATTCTACTTCCATACAGGCAGGGGTGTCACCCTCTGCACATCACGCCTCACCCAACTCACCTGCCCCCATGACGTGACACTGAATGATGAGCTTCAATCCCATTCATGCTTTCCCACCATCTCCATGCTCCTCTGAACCCATAAAAATCCCTGCGCTTCAGCTTTACACACCCCCAAGCTTTATACACATGGTATCACCTTGCACAAATTTGGAAATATGCTTTTATAAACATTATAATTTTAAAATTTATTCTTGTTGGAATATGTAGGCCTAGCTCACTGTAACAGCTCTGGTACTCACTGTGTGAATATAACACAATGTATTTATTCTGGTGACAAATATTTTAGCATGTCTTTTTAATTAGCAGTTTCAGTTATATTAAGGGTAAAAACAGCACTTGAATCAGACATACTAGGACATGCACTGTATGTTTATTATGACATTAAAAATAATCTAGAAATGTAACTTACACAACTTAACACAAGAGCTGCAGTATTCAAAGTAAAATCATTCAAACGATCTTGAGTTAAATTTTTAAAAAGATAAAATTAAATATTCATCAAGTATCTGCTGTGTGTCTGAGTCTCTGCTAGGTATTTTGGGCACAAGATTTAAACATAAGATGAAGCCAGGCATGGTGGCTCACACCTGTAATCTCAGGACTTCAGGAGACTAAGGCGGGCAGATCACTTGAGGTCAGGAGTTTGAGACCAGCCCTGGCAACGTGGTAAAACCTCGTCTCTACTAAAAATACAAAAAATTAGCTGGGCGTGGTGGTGCATGCTTGTAATGCCCAGCTACTTGGGAGGCTGAGGTAGGAGAACTGCTTCAACACAGGAGGCAGAGGTTGCGGTGAGCTGAGATGGCACCACTGCACTCCAGCCTTGGCGACAGAGTGAGATTCCATCTCAAAAATAAATTCATTCATTCATTCAATTTAAATAAAAAACAAAACAAAACAAAACAAAAAAACAAAGATGAGAACTTTAATCCTGTGGACCTATTTATGACATGTTCATCCTCTTAAGAACTACAACCAATGCAATAACTTGTTAACAATATTCTTATCACACAGGTTCTTACAAAGGCATGTACATCTCTGTCCAAAAATCGAGTGAAAAAAAGACAAAATGAGAAACTAAAGAGCTGAGTGCAAATGGATAAAAGGTAAGTCATAAAGAAGGCAGGAGGAGATGGGACAAAATAGGTGACGAGGCTGCCCTGGATCGCCTATGGGCAGGTGGGCTCTGTTGAGTAACCACACAGAGCAATTTAATATCCTCATGGTCAGTGGAAACCACTTCTTGCCAGTAACAATCAACTGAGAAATCATCCCAGTGGGGCAGCAGCATTTGCAAGGTCTGTCCTAAAAGGAATAACTAAACCTGGAACTCCTAATCATAACCAAAAAGACTTCAGAGTAAAAACAGGGACAAGAATGCTGCTGGCCTTTCAAAGATGGGGCCCAATTCAGCTGGCACAGACAACAGCTTCTGTTCTGCATGGTGACACCAGGGAGCACGGCGCCATTCTGGGAGATGGCAGTGCCACTCTCAGAACTCACAGTCAATGGTAATCATGTTTGCCAGTTTCTTCACTGTCTCCAATAATTTAATAACCCACGATATCTGTCTAAAAACAGAGAAATAGAGAACTTGTATTTGTGAAAAGAAAATCCAACTAAGCTCTAAGGTAAGATGCTTACCTTTTTATACTACTGTAAAGTCAAATCCACACATGAACAAAAACACCTGCATGAACTGTCGCCAGTGCAGTTAAGCCAGGGACAATGTGGAAACCCTTCTATGTGAGTAGAGGCAGTGGACTTAAAGGAGACTTTAAGTCAGGCTTAGCAATGTCCAATCACTCAAAACTATGTAGGGGGCATCGTCAACACTTAATGCTTAAACACTGTTTGATGTTGCCAAATTTCAAAGAAACAACTTCACTCACAACATAAGTTTTTTTTTTTTTTTTTGAGACGGAGTCTAGCTCTATCGCCAGGCTGGACTGCAATGGTGCGATCTCAGTTCACGGCAACCTCCACCTCCCGGGTTCAAGCGATTTCCCTGCCTCAGCCTCTCAAGTACCTGGGATTACAAGCACGCACCGCCGCGCCCAGCTAATTTTTTGTATTTTACTGGAGATGGGATTTCACCATGTTGGCCAAGACAGTCTCAATCTCCTGACCTTGTGATCCTCCCACTTCGACCTCCAAAAGTGCTGGGAATATAGGTGGCCCACACCTGGCCCACAACATAATTTTAAGAAAAACTGCAATAATTATTTCATCAAAACATAAACAGGAAGTTGCAATTTGAAAGAAACACCTTTAGTGGCAAAGCTGTAATTAAAATGTATTTTCCTTTAACTATAAATGTTATTTTTATTTTGTTTTTCATGAATGAAAGAGCTATCTTTAAAATTCCCATTAAAAAGATTATTTTCTACTTCATATGGCCCAAAACTTGTTTGAGGTTTCATAATGGATCCAACTGGCATTCCCAGGACTATCAGGCGCTAGTCCAGAATTACTGGACCTGAGCGGAAAGCAATGGAGGCAAGAGAACAATCTGACTTGCCGTCAAGGACCTTAATGTTTGATGGCTATAGATTTAAAGGTTCACACTGAGAAGACAAATACTCTAAGGACAAGCATTATTAATTTAAAATTGTCATTTACTTACATCTTAGCACTTCCACAATCAAGTCCACATCAGTGCTGAGCTTCTTGATGTGGTCGAGGTTAGCCACCGTTGTGATTGGCACATACTGGTCACTGTCCATCTGTGATATAAGATACATGTCACTAGCAAGGTTCTCCCTGTTGAAAGAAAACAATCTCCTTTAATCAATATTTCTTTAAAAAGAAGTTTCACCTACTGCAATTCCAGTTTCACAAGAGGCATGAGTGTGGCATGGTATTGCTTTGGAGTTAAATCGGAGCCCAGGACCCATTTGTTATTTGCTGTCTCTCCGGCCTCAGTTAAATTTTTTCAAAATCTCAGTCTTGAAGAGGCAGGGAGTGCAAAAGTAAAAGTATACTGCACTTTCTACAATCAAAATTCATGAGAAGATGGTTATTTTTAAATAAGATGTAATTATTTGTAGCTGTCATTTTTGCCCTAAGAAGTATTTGAGGAGTTTATTAAAAATACATACAATTTTGTTAGGCTGGGCACGGTGGCTCACACCTGGAATCCCAGCCTACCTTGGGGGGCCAAGGTAGGCAGATCACCCGGGCTCAGAAGTTTAAGACCAGCCTGACCAACATGGTGAAACCCTGTCTCTACCAAAAATACAAAAATTAGCCAAGCATGGTGGCAGGCACCTGTAATTCCAGCTACTTGGGAGGCTCAGGCAGGAGAATCGCTTGAACCCAAGAGGTGGAGGTTACAGTGAGCCGAGATCGCACCATTGCACTCCAGCCTGGGTGACAAGAGTGAAACTCCGTCTCAAAAAAAAAAAAAAAAAAAAAAAATAAAGAACTCCAGCTGAATGAACAAGAAAGGAAAACATAAAAAGGCCAGGATAACGTCATTCACAAAATTCCTCCTGTAGACTCTGGAACACTCACTAGAGAGCCTATATCCAGCCCTGGCTTCCTGGCAGCCAGAATTAAAAAGAAGGAAACAGTAACTTTACCCACAAAATCCAAAGGTGAGCCACAAATCATCAGCAGTTTGGGCCATGATGAGCTATTTTCTGGTGTTTTGGTCAAAGATCAATGTTTCCTGTGAATTCTCAAGGCATCGTACAATGTAGTAAACAAGGTCCTAAGAAACATTTCAAAACTGAAAACAGTGCTGGGTTCCTGGGGCCTCTGTTCAGTGTCCCTCGGTGAAGGCCCATGACTGCCGATCAAATGGAGGCCATGCAGGAGGAGGCCCTGCTCCACCCTCATCTTGGCCACCTTCCAGCTGTAGCTGATTTTGGCCCCGTGGGGCTACAGAAGGGGATAAGTGGCAGAGGGCTCACACCTGTGCCCCCCAGGGTGCTCCACTGGTACCCCAGCACCTCTTGCGTCTGCTGTGTCATGGTGCGGTATGCTCAGACTCCAAACGTGGAGCAGCATGGGCATGGGGAGGAGGCCAGCAGAGCCCCTCACACCTCCGCCTCATACAGCCACAGGCTTCAAGGAGCCCCTAGCAGACACCTGTGTGGAATCCTCAGGGCTCCAGAGAAAACACCTGGAAAATCACCATAGACAGAAAACCTTACACACGGCTAATCGGTTGTTGCCATACTCAGAGAAATTACATCAAACCCAATCCCACCTTCCTTTATGTCCAGTTCTGCCATTGGAACTTTAAAGGTTTTACTAAGAAAAAGGTATTATTCAGGGGGAAAAAAAATGATTAAAAATGAGTGTTATATAAATAAAACAACTTGCTATCTCAGTGTTTGGTGTGTTTTCAGAAACAACATGGCACATTTGTTCTCAAACTTCGGTGTGAAGAGTCTGATTCAGCAGCACAGGGCAGGCCAGGCCCTTCAGACGGCACTCCAGACAGTGACCACCAACACCACGGGGGACCACTGACATGAAGGTTCCATTCCGTTCTCAAACGTCAAAAGATTGTTATTACTCAATATTCCACGTCTTAATATTCATATATATGGATATGAGTAGATACTCCTTCATAAAATATCCCATTTGTATATAATTTAACTATTTGCACGAGACTAGAAATATCAGGCATTAGAAAAAAACACCACCAGCCTTACCTAGATAAGCAGAATTCCAATGTTTTTTTAAGTACTTCCCGGGGGTCTTCCTGGCTTTCTGGTTGAGACTCATTTCCTCCTACAGAAAAGTAATAATCAACTTAGGAAAAACGGCTTAAAATTTAGGAAGTAGATAATTCAGTACAGCAGTTCTAGTGCTTTCAACTTACATTCTGACACAACTACATAAGTGTATATTGAGTATGAAAAATGCTACTTTACCTATCAAAAAAGTAAATCATGCAAAAAAATGTATTCCTTTATCCCCCAAAACAAAAACAGCACAATTTAGAAAAATAATCTAAGTCTCATGAGCAGAGTTTAGCACGGGCTTTTTCTACCAGAAATGACAAGTGTAAGTTTAGCTAATGCCTTGTCTCACTGCAAAAAGAATTTTCAAGTAACCTACACAAACACAAACACTAAACAATAATAAAATATAGAGGAAAAAATTAAAACAACAACGACAAAGATAACTGGCAAACAACCAAGGCTGGAGATCATAAACAGACAGGCTCTACAACACTAGACAGTTTCTACGACAGAGGCTTCAATTTGCCTTTCAACTTCCAGAGTAGAAGGAACAAGTGAGAATTGCCGTGTTACAGAATTCCTATAAGAGAATGATAAATAAACCAGATCTTCAAGAGGAAACAAAAGCTGGATCTAAATCCTGGAAGAAATTTCTGAGAAGATGCCAGAGGGCATGGTGTGTGTGGTCACAGGCAGCACAGGGCCGTGAATCTGAAGCTCTATAAGACAGAGCTGGACTCTGGACACTGCATAAACAGGTGTTTTAATAATGTTGAGACGACAGGCACTGAAATGCTAAGAACTAAGTTTTTTCTACATTCCTATACAAATTAGCATGGTACAATCATACATGAGCCATGCTAACACAAGACACACTTGTATCTTAAAAGTCAAAGTTAAAGACCACGAAAAGGCAAAGACAAAGTGGAGCGTTCAGGACAAATAAGAGGGACAGGGAGTTTGTATGGTGTTATACAATGAGCTTAGTAAAAATCCACCCCCATCAGCAAAAAGAAAACAAAACTGCTAAAGCAACCATAACACAAAACCAAACCATGGGACTCAATGAGACTGAAAACTGAAAACTGAAAACACAACCTGATGCCACTGTCCATCTAGACTAAAGTGTCTCCGGGTCACTCATCTAAATTCACACTCCACTCCCCATGTTTGATAGGTGTTTACTAAATATTTCTATGTGCCAGGCACTATGGCAGGCTCTGTGAATTCAGCCTGAATAAGGCAAAGCCTGTGCTCTCGTGAAGCCAACACTCTCGTGGGAGAGGCAGATAACAGACAGTTAACCAGTAACTATATACATCATGTCAGAGAGAAACTGATACTGAGGAAACCACCCAGGATGAGGGGCAGCAAGGCCTGGTGCCGTCCAGACAGGAAGTGCCATGCGATCTGATAGAGGAGGGGTGGGGCACGCAGGAAGGTGGGAAGTGTGTTCTAAGTGGGGAGCCTCAAGCACAGGTGTCCCAAGATGGGGCCTCTCAAGGGGTAGAGTTCAGCAGTAGGAGGCCAGCACAGCTGAGAAGAGGGGTGACAGACACAGTAAGAAATGAGGTCACAGAGGCTGATGTGTGTGTGAGATCAAGGAGGACGTTAGAGGATGTTAGAGTAAACGTCATAGAAAACCAATTCAAGGCTGACATTTTGAAAAGATCTCTGGTTCCATGGTGTAGACGGACTGTGCAGGCACCAGCCGGAAGTTAATGCAATCATTGAGGACAGGGCACTAGGGAGGAGTCTCTAAGCAATAGGTGGTGCCGAAGCCACAAGGGAAGGAAGAAAAACAGCCCAGGACTGAACCTGGGACACTCCCACCTTCAGCAGGAGGCAAGTGCATGAGGGCCAAAGGACACAGGTTAACAGCCAGCAAGGTGGGAAGACCATTAGGATACTGTGAAGTTAGGAGCCAAGATAATCACCCACTACAACATGACACAGTAGAGCCAGGTAAGTTAAGAAGTTGGAACTAACTACTAAATCTGGCTGCACCAGGGTCATTAAAGAGCTCGACAAATGCCGCTTAGGACAGCTGTCTACCTGGACTGGACTCCAGAGGGAATGGAAGCAAGGAGACCTGGACCGGCCTCCAGAGGGAAGGGAAGCAAGGAGACCTGGACCGGACTCCAGAGGGAATGGAAGCAAGGAGACCTGGACCGGACTCCAGAGGAAAGGGAAGCAAGAAGATCTGGACCGGACTCCAGAGGGAAGGGAAGCAAGAAGATCTGGACCGGACTCCAGAGGGAAGGGAAGCAAGAAGATCTGGACTGGACTCCAGAGGGAAGGGAAGCAAGGAGACCTGGACTGGACTCCAGAGGGAATGGAAGCAAGAAGATCTGGACTGGACTCCAGAGGGAAAGGAAGCAAGAAGATCTGGACCGGACTCAAGAGGGAATGGAAGCAAGGAGACCTGGACCGGACTCCAGAGGGAATGGAAGCAAGGAGACCTGGACCGGACTCCAGAGGGAATGGAAGCAAGGAGACCTGGACCGGACTCCAGAGGGAAGGGAAGCAAGGAGACCTGGACCGGACTCCAGAGGGAAGGGAAGCAAGGAGACCTGGACCGGACTCCAGAGGGAAGGGAAGCAAGGAGATCTGGACCGGACTCCAGAGGGAAGGGAAGCAAGGAGACCTGGACCGGACTCCAGAGGGAAGGGAAGCAAGGAGACCTGGACCGGACTCCAGAGGAAAGGGAAGCAAAGAGACCTGGACCGGACTCCAGAGGAAAGGGAAGCAAAGAGACCTGGACCGGACTCCAGAGGGAATGGAAGCAAGGAGACCTGGACTGGACTCCAGAGGGAATGGAAGCAAGGAGACCGGGACTGGACTCCAGAGGAAAGGGAAGCAAGAAGATCTGGACTGGACTCCAGAGGGAATGGAAGCAAGGAGATGGGACAGCAAGCAGACAGCTGAAGTGTTCTACAGTGGAAGATGGGCTGCCCCGCGGTGGCTTCATCTAAGATGAGAGATAATACCACCTCAGAAAGATGGGGAGTGACCCAACCATGCAAGAAACGCCTGGCACTGCAGCCAGAGGAGACTGAGGAGCAAAGACAATGACAAGTGAGGCGGGCTCTCGGGGAGACTGGAGGTTGGGCACATGGTGCTGGGAAGACACAGACCATCTGCCTCCAGGCAAGATGGAGTCACAGGAGCTAGGTTAACTTTCCCTTTAAAACCACCAAGAAACCAAATAAGATAGATGAAATGATCGTTTTCTAGATGTGGGACATAGGGCAACAAGGGACATGGATTCCTACGTGACATGAGACTTTTTTTCTTTTTTTGAGAGAGTCTTGCTCTGTCACCCAGGCTGAAGAACAGTAGCGCAGTCTTGCAACCTTGGCTCACTGCAACCTCCACCTCCTGGGTTCAAGTGATTCTCTCCTCAGCCTCCTGAGTAGCTGGGATTACAGGCACACACCACCAGGTACGGCTAATTTTTTTTTTTTTTATTTTTAGTAGAGACGGGGTTTCACCATGTTGGTTAGGCTGGTCTCGAACTCCTGACCTTGTGATCCGCCCGCCTTGGCCTCCCAAAGTGCTGGGATTCCAGGCGTGAGTCATCATGCCCGGCTTGACATGAGACATTAAAGTAACCCCCACAGGTCCAGCCCACTGCCCTGAGGGAAGTCCCAGGCTGTGCCCAGGGAGTGGGAAGTCAGGTGGGAACCCAGTGTATGGCTGCGTGAAAGAGAAAAAGAGAATGCAGGAGATGGGGAGGCTGAGTGCACAGGCCAGACGGCAGGAGGAGCTCCAGAGAACCGCAGGGCCCAGGCCCCAGCACATTGTCTGCCAGGTTCTTTGCAAAGCACAGACGTGATGAAACTACCCAAGGCTCAGGGAAGAACCACCTGAGAGGATCAGAAGTGTAACAATATATGTCATTCACGTGCGGGGCCTGAAATGGTTAACCGTCCCCCCGCCCAGAAAATCTTGTGATTCCTGGAGCCCTGCCTTGGTGATAGGAAACAGGTCCCCACACCACACGGTTCCACTCACACCTAACACATTTTAAAAACAAGATATGAAAGGATCACACTGTTTCCAAGAAACTTGGCTGCATCTCAGAACAAATATCAAATACTTAAAGAAATACAAAAATACTAAGCCCTGAATAAAGTAAAACTCAATCTAACCAAAAATGACCACGCACGCAAAGAAAGCAGCAGGACGGTGTGACCCGTGACAGTGAGAAATATCAACCCACAGACGTCGTCCAGACCTGACACGGACGGTAAAATTAACTGAGAAGGATGGTAAAAGTTACCATAACTGTATTCCATATGTTCACAAAGTCAGGTAAGGACATAAAAGTTACAAAAATAAGAAAGAAAAGAGAAAAAACTTATAGAAATGAAAACTCCCATGTCTGATATTAAAAATACCTGATGAGATTAACAACAGGTTAGGCATTATAGCAGACTTGGGAACCTGAAGACACAGTAACAGAAACTTCCCAAAATCAAACAGAAAATGAGAAGCACAATGAGCTCCGAGGATCAGTCAGCTGCGGACAACATCGAGCAGCTCAGCTCCAGTGTAACATCAGACCCTGGCACAGTCCGCCCCCAACCCAGAGCAATCTACACACGTGAACAGAGAGCACTGGAAACCACCACCACATGGACAAAGAGGTGTGCTTCTTTGCTTGTTATAATTTAAATCTCTTTTAAAAATAACTGACTTTTAAATAAAAATAAAAACAATATATTGTCAGTTTATAACATAAGTAACCGCAAAATGCATGATGACCAAAGCATCCAGGCCACGAGAGCAATGGCGGCAGACTGCCCTGATGCTGTGCTCTACGTGAAGCAGCACGCAGCTGCTTCACAGGTAGACTGGGTTAGCGGAAGGAAGTGGAACAAGACGCAAAGAAATCACTAAAACAGCAAAACAAAGAAGAAGGCTACTCCACAAGAAAACAGAAAAAGAGGGAAAGAGGAACGAAGAACGGATGGGACAAAAAGAAACAGAACACGCCTAGCACTCAATCTTGGTTTCTGATACCACTCTCCAATGAAGGAC